TCCAGTGTCATGAAAATGATAAATAAGTGATTGCAATTCTAACTGGACCAGGAAAACATAAGAAACCCTCTTTCAATACTAACCACAGCCAAAAGAACTGGAAGCATGGCTCAAATGGTAGGGCACCTGACAAGCAAGTTTGAGATCGTGAGTTCAAACTCTAATATTACAAATAAAGAAAGGAAGGCTGGGAGCTAGTGGCTCCTGCCTGTAATCCTAGTTATTCAGGAGATCTGAGGATCATGGTTTAAAACCAGCCAGAGAAGGAAAGTCTATGAGACTCTTATCACTGATCCATTACAAACAGCCAGAAGTGCAGCTGTGGCTCCAGTGGTAGAGCACTAACATGAACACAAAATCTCAGAGACAGCATTGGGGCTCAGAGTTCAAGTCCCAGGACAGGCAAAAAATGGGGAAGGAAAGAAAGAAAAAAAGGAATAATGGAAGGAAGGAAGATATTGAAGGAGGGAGGAAAGAGGAGAAATGGGAGAGAAAGGAAAGAAGGGAAGAAAAAAAGAAGAAAAAGTATTCCTTAAATGGGCCCTAAAAACAACATGAGCAAATATTTAAGACTATTTGGAATGCATCAAAGTTAAAAAATATTTGACTTTAGAAGACTGAATTCTGAATTAGGAAGATAGCAAGCTTGAGGTCATCTTGGACAATTTATACCTTTGTGTCAAAATAAAATGAAAAGGGATAATGATGTGACTTTCAAGCAATAGAGTTTGTCTAGCATATATGAAACACTATTTTCAGTTCCTGCTACTGCAAGAAAAAAGTGAAAATATTATGATCAAGTTCATAAAACATCCAGAATAATAGTGTAATTTTTAAATTTTATACATTTAAAATTAACATTTTAATAGAGGAACAAATTATATTGTAGACAGAAAAATATATTCACATATATGTAAATTTTTGTACATTTATATATACTTACATATTTTTGTTAACTGTATGGATACATTTATATATGTATAAATAGGATATATATATACAGATGTTCATATATATATATAGAAATAGAAAAATGAAACTCATGAAATTTATTTGAAAAGTAGTAATAGGATAAATCTGATCAAAATGCAATATGTCTAACACCACAAAATGGGTTATAATATTTTACTCAAATATTTGAAATATTTCTGTAAACAGAAAAACATTACATTTGTAGTTTAGAATTTATAACAAATGGAACACATGTGTTCAAAATACACTCCTAAACAAGACCACACTAAAGCTACCAGTACACTATGTTTATTGCAGCATTATTTACCATAGCTAAGATATGGAACCAACCCAGATGCCCTTCAGTAGATGAATGGATCAAGAAAATGTGGTATATATACAAAATGGAATTCTATGCCTCCATCAGAAAGAATGACATTGCCCCATTTGTTAGGAAATGGAAAAACTTGGAAAAAATTATATTAAGTGAAGTAAGCCAGGCACAAAGAAACACAGGTCCCATGGTTTCCCTTATTCGCAATATCTAGTATATCTATGAGTCAAGCGGAAAAAGTCAGATAATGTGATGTTAGGAAAATGAATCCTTAGATAGGTATTTAAATGTTTTTTTTTTCTTTCATGCATGTGTTTCTAATGCATTTATAAGTTTATTTCTTTGTTGCTTTGTATGTCCCTCCCACACAGTATAACCCCCGCTTTCAATATATTTGATGTTAGTATAACTTATGGAGGAGATGGGGAAAAACAAGTCATTTAAGGATTCAGGTGGACCTGTTGCAACAATGAGAAGTACAAATTGTCATGTCAAAAAGGAGCTTTACAATGTCTGTGGGGGGGGGGAGCAGGGAGGGGGGGGGGATTGGGTGGGGTGGGAGGGGGGAGGCTGGGAAGGGAGGTGCAAGGTAAACAAAGGAGGAGGCTGCAATGCTTGGTAAGAAATGTATGCATTATCTTGCCCATGTAATTGTAACCCCTCTGTACAGTATGTTCACAAATAAAATAAAATTTAAAAAAAAGAAAAAAAACAAAATACACTCCTATTAATCTAGAACTTTTTTCCTTTATTTTTATTGTTGCCATTTATTAGAAAAGAAAATACATTAGTTAGCTATGAAGATGGTTACAAGTATGGGCTGCATGTTTGAAATTGTACAGTGCCTGCGTAGTTGGAACAAGGCCTTACATTCAAACATTTTACCACCATAAAGGTAAGAAGGAAGGAGAAGATGGGAGGGAGGAAAAGAGGAAGAAAAAACAGATTGTTGAAAATTTAAAGGGCTAGGAAAAAATTCTGAAAATTCTAAGTTAAATTATCTTATCAAATTAAGTTGATCTGAATTTCTATCATTATGAGCACTTTAGGGTTGATTATAGTCTTGAAACTGCTTGTAATAATTGATCTTTTGTGGAATCACTAAGATACAAGAAAATGAGCTTTCTTCTATCTATATTATGTTCATTATTGGTGACTTGTATAATGCTTATAAATTTGTTATACTTAGGATAATTGCTAATTTTGGTATTATGCTTAAAATGCTTCTAAATATGCAGAAAACTCTAATAATTCTTAATTATTTTGAGGAAAACCTTAATGAAATCAAGATTGCCTAAGTAATGATTTCCATTGTATATCAAACCATAGCAGCTGGTAATTTAGTAAGTTTACTTGAAAATTGCTTTTGTTTCCATTAAATTTCTTATAAAGTAGTTCACTAATGCATTGATAGAAACGTGATTATTTACTTTGATAATTTTATTCAGATAAAATTTCATAACTTTTGTTTTGAAAGTTGTGTGAAATCAAATTAAAATACATGTTACATGAATCACTTAATCTTGTTATGTGTATGTATACACATATTTACAAGTTAATTATTTAACTTAAAAATACTTTTATTAAGCACTTATCACTAACATTACATAAATAAGATTAGGGTTATAAATTTAAAAACAAAATATCTCTAACTCAGTTCAGTTGGGAAAAGAAAAATAGAGAAAATTTCCAATGTTCTAATTTTTTGCTTGCTTCAAAAATTACCTTTGCAATGTAAGTACTGAATTTATAGAAACCCAGGCATCGTTTGGATGGGCCTACAGTCACCATAACTGGAAACTACAATAGTGTGCAAGATTGAAGTATGTTTAATGCATTAGTTAATCCACTCCAGAGGTCTAAAATTTGTATCCATAAAAGACTGGAAGATGACTTGTGTAACAGAATAACATTCCAAATTTTAAAATGCCATTTTCATAGCTGTGCAGATAGCAGAAAAATGTAGTTTATATTGCTCAGAATTATCCAGATAAGCAGCTTAGCCATATTAAATGTAGACAAAGGAAAAAATTAGAAATATTAGGAATATGATCTTCTTTCCATTGTTGAAAGAAGAAACTACTAATTATAACTGTTCCTTTGAATCTTGAGCTGACTATTGTTATAGTAAATCTAGTATGACAGCTAGGTTCATATTTGTAGTCCAATTTTTAATATTTTATAATAGTATTTTATATTATAACAAAAAACATTAAAAAGTAGAAACATCCATCAATATTTTCTTATGATGGAATCGTATGTAAAAAATAAATATGACAGTACCATATCAAATAGTAGACAAATATTTAAAATGTTCAGTAGAACAGCAGAGTACAAAATAATTTATGTATGACTAAATATACAGCAGAAAGTTAAAAAACAGACAAAGTCTCATTCATAATATTATAAGCCAGGGAAAAGGGGATTTGGGAGAGGTAACAAGTACTGTATATTATGCAGAATCCAGTGAGAAGTAAGAGTTAATTTTTTTTCTCTTGTCCAAGTAGTGAATCAAGTTCTACAAGAAGCATTCTCGCTACCTTACTGATGTTACTATATCCCCTTTGTGCTTTATCTTGACAATAAATTTTTAATAAAGAAATACTGAATCATTGTGAAAATGTGCATTTGAATCAGATGCATCGGTTAACTTTTTAAATTAAATTAGTTTCATAGGTGATTCAGTTTAATTGAAATTATCATAAGTGCTTCATATGCTAGTAATGAGTAGGCAGTTATATGGTTTAAAACTTTAATACATATTCTTACATTTGTAATTAAATTACATTAAGATGTTTAGGTATGCTATCACTAAAGATTTACAGTATTGTGGAAGACTTTACAAAAATCACTTTATTCATCTATTGCATTTTCATATCCTCTCTTTTGTGAGATCTATGATGGACAAGGAGATTACTCTTATAGTTGAAGGACTTACCACACTCATAGAACACGTAGGCTTTCTCACCTGGCTGAGCTCTTTAATGTGCGATGAACTTGGTTTTCTGGTGGAAGCATTTTCCACATCATTGCACTTATTTGCTTTCTCTCCTAAGTGAATTCTTTGATGAAGAATGAGCTACAATTCCTGCTGAAGGCTTTCCACATTGAAGATATTCATAGGATTTCTGACCTGTATGTATTTCCTGATGTACTGAGGGATGCTTTCCAGCAAAAGCACTTCCCATATTTATGATAGTTTAAGGTTTCTCCATCATATCAATTTTCTGGTGTAGATTGAGATTTGTCTTTTGATGGAAAGATTTCACCCACTCATTACATTCATAGAGCTTATCTCCCAAGTGAGATCTGCAGTGATGGATGGGGTATGACTTCATTCTAATGCGCTTCCCATGACTAGGACATTGGTATGGTGTCTCTCCTGTACATGTTCTCTGATAGGCCACAAGGGGGTTGTCTCCTGACAAATGGACGTTTTACATTCACTAAAAATATAGTGTTTCTCCACTCTATGAATTGTTGTTAATGAAGAGCAAGGTTGTTCTCTGAAAGAAATATTTCTCAAACTTATTACAAATAGAATTCAGTAAGGATTTGCCTTCTTTTTTTTGAGATTAACGATGCATTTATTCTCTTATGCATAACCCATTTTCTATCAATTATAAAGGACAGTTAACAGGAAAAATCCATTACTGTTCTCTCTTGCTCAATCGTACAGTAGTCAACATGTGTTACTTGTGGAAACTGACAGCACTCAAGGATGGATATTGTCATGACAGCCAACTCTGTTCCTAGTTCTTAACAAGAGTGGAGCTTCTCTTCACCGTCTTTTTCAGATGGTGGTAATTTGGCAAGATTTTCATCAAGAAATCCAGCTGTAGTGTCTGGGGCTGTGGTCGCTCAGTCTGCACCCGGCAAAGGCAGTCTGCATCATATACCACTGTATTCTCAGGAATGACCTCAAAAGTGTTTAGGTTGCAACAAGCCCCGATGATGCAGCCACGTGTCAGTATTACATACCTGCCCACGTACGCTTTTGATTCAATGACATTGTTATCTCCCATTTTCATGGCTTGGGAATAGCAGCCAACTTCAAACACAATATTGGTTCCAATTATCACAGGTTTTGGTTCTGGATCTTCAGTGTCAGGAGTTATATGATCTGGGTAAGCATTTATGATCAGTGCTTTTTCTTCTATCAGGTTCCCTTCGCCAATGATGATGGGCCCAGCCTCCGCAATAATTCCTGCTTTAGGGTGGATCACCATCCGTGGTCCTATAGTCACATCCCCTCTGATTTCACTTTCTACACACACAACAGCTCCAGGTGCAATTTTCACACTCTTTTCAGTCTTCTCCGCCATGATAAAGTCCTGGTCTCCGATTGGAGCAGTGATCGACACCACCGTTTGAGTAGAGCGATAAGGATTTGCTTTCTGGTGAAAAGGATCGCCATATTCCTTATAAATATAATATATCTCCATCGTATGAATCTTATGATGTAAAGAAAGTGTTTACTTGAGGTGAAAGAACTTCCCACAACCTTTTTATTCATGTGGTTTATTTCTTGTGTGAGTTACCTTATTGCATTCATATCATTTCTTTCCTGTGTGAGTGATGTGGTGAGGAGGGGTATTTTCAATCTGAATGTCTTCCTAAACTACGTGGATGTTTGTTGATGATCTGTAAGGGTTGTTTTTAGATGGAAGGACTTCTATTCATTACTAAGAAAGAATTTGTCTCCTGTGCCAGTGTTGCAATTGTCAATGAGATAGAAATGGCTTCTTAATGCATTTCCACACTGCACTGGTCCCCACCAGCTTTCCTGCTAGGTGGGTTTGCTCCTGCAGAATCCCTGCTGACTTCCTGTAAAAGGATCTCACACATTCGTTGAAAGTAAGTTTTCTTTCAAAATTGCATTCTTTGCATTTTTTCTTTATATACAAATGTGCTGTTCCTTGGTACACTATAGATGTGTGTGTAAACCACCATTTGAGGAAAGATTTCTCATCATAATAATATGCAAGTGATTATACCACTGTCACCAACTTCTAATACCAAATAAGCACATCTTTATGACAGATAATACTGCCCCTCTGGTTGTGGGAACTAACATAGGATAAGCTGTTTCTTCCTCAATATCAAGCAATAATTTCTTATATCTATTACAGTTACTAAATATCCTCTTTGAAGGAATTAGATTACCAATGACTAAATTTGACAGCTATTCCAAAAATATTTTCATGAATGTCATATTCTGATACAGAATTTGATTCAGCAAGATTTATCACTAAATGTCTTTCCTTTAACCATCTTTTATAGTCAATGCATACAACTGATCTCGAATTCTTATTCCTTGAATTTCATCTTACAATCTTCAACTGTCCAGTGTGTTTCTGTGCAAGACTGACCTACAAAAGATGCACCTGATTCTAACCTTGTCTCCCTTTTGAAGAGCACATCACGTTTGAACTTGTCACATCCCACAGTGACAATAGTATTCCATGTGAAGTCTTCTGAGCAGTGTTTAAGGGTGGCACCCCCCACAGAGTAAAGTCCACTGTCACATTCTAAACTGGCATGGATTCCTGAGCCAAGTTTTGATCCCAGCCACAACAATGGTCTGGAACCCAGTTTCTACTGACTGTGTATTGCTCACAGAATCATAAAGTAAAAACTTTTCAAATCAACCATTTTATGTTTAAGAACATCTGTATTGGACATTCATACATGTGATCATATATATATATATATATGTGTGTGTGTGTGTGTGTGTGTGTGTGTGTGTGATGTGTATTGTAGGCTATAATGATATGCATATATAATATATTCATAAATAATATACACATATAATTATATGTACATATACATGAATTATATGTAGGTATAAATATTATATATTATGTTAATTATGTAGACATTATATACGATGTATCGCTAGACGTATATATATGATTCTATGACATAAATAATATAAAATATATAAGATATAACATTGCATATAAAATACAAAATATATATCATATATTACATGTGTTATATATTTATGCAGGTTATATTTTAACATATGTAACATATATGTTATAAATGATGTATACATGTACATTTATATATGATGTATAAAACATGTATTATATACACCTATGTATGTATATGTATTATATATATATACACATAGGTGGATATAATACATATATATGTATACATATGAGCACATATATAAATGAATAATGTATTTATAATAATTATATGTACATATGTAATTATATATGCATATATACTTATATAATGACATATAATTACATACAATTTTGCGTTATAAATATATGTGTTATTTATACATACAATTACATACATGTGTACATATAATTATATATAGTTGCGTATAATTAATTGCCCATGTAATTATATATACTTATGATACATATGTACATATGATACATATAATCACATACATATGTACATATTCTATTTTTGATATGTATATTATATAGCATATATGCATATACATACATTCTGTGTTTGCTATTTTTAGCCAAAAAAACTCATATATGACAAGTTATACTGCTATTAAGACTTTAAAAGATAGAAAATTGCAGTTGTCATTTAATTATTTTTATTAAGAAATAATTTTCTAAAAGGTAAAATTATTCTAGTTCAATTACAAAATAAATACATATCAAAGTTGTATCCAATTCATTAATTGATGAAATTGTCCATGACATGTTAAAAATAATTCCAAGAAGCTAATTGCTTATAACTGATATCAACCTTATTTACTTAATTATAATACTGGTTACAACCTCCGGTTGATCAGAAATGTAATCTCTGGAATATATTTGTTCCTATGGACAGAATTAATATTGCTTTGTTATACATATTATTTCTGCACATGAACATTCTCTCAATAGCATCTCAAGCAAGAATGGGCCAGGTCTCAGTGACATTTCAACAATATCTCTTACTATTCATATGTATGAAATTTTTCTTTCCATCATTTTTTATTGTGAAAATACTGTACAGAGGGTTTACAATTACATGGGCAAGATAATCAGTACATTTCTTATCAGGCATTGTAGCCTCCTCCTTTGTTTCCCCTTCCCATCCCTTCCCATCCATCATTTTTGCTATGGTTGTTGTATTTCTTTTTGTTTTATAAAACTAGGATTTCCTACATATCTCAAAATGGACATCAATTGCCAATTCTTCCATCTCAGCCTCTCAAGTTGTGAGTCTATCGGGATATGTATGCCACCAGAACTAACCTCTGCTGTCTTGCATAGGTAAGGTTTAGAGTGTATAAAAATATATCAGTTGTATAGCTTGATAACAATGTAATTTTATATTTGTATAACAAACATAGATAGAATGCACTTTAAGTTTGGATGGGGAAATGATATAAAATTTGACATAGGATTGTCACCATTAAATAATCATCATGAAAATAAGTCTATCATCACCTACGCCACTTAGATGCTCTTGCAAATCCCACATTTAACTCAGTCATGAAGTACCTAAATGCTTGGGTGTACATATGTATGGACACCCACAGAGCGATAGCTATTTTTCCCAGCTGCATTTGCTCAACATGTTACCCTTGTGGCTATGAATTACCTTTGTCAATGGTCTACAGGTGTATATGTGTTTTCAGTCTTCCTAGGCTGCTACTTTGATCTATTGCCTGTCTTTATACCATTATGCATTGTGTTCATTCTTATTGCATTGCACTACATTGTGAATTCGGCTAATGCTAGTTCTCCATATTTATTCTCTTTCAAAGTGAGTAGCCATTCTATGTCCCTTGTTGTACCTTGTGAATTTTGGAACTGGCTTTGAAAGCAAGGATCTTGACTAGCATTCCTTCAAAACTGTTTAGAACAAGAAGATGCCTTAACAATATTGAGACTGTGGTTAATGATCCCGGTTTATTTTGGTTTTTAATTTCTCTCATCATTGCTTCTAGTTCTTAGGGTACAGAAAATCTGTTTTTCATATTTATCCCAAAGTATTACAATGCTAATCATCCTTTCATATGTGTGTGTGTGTATTTAATTTGATACTATGCATTTCAATTCAATGACACAGAAGCAAAAGTAGGCTAGATTAAGAAGCTTCTCTTTAGTCAATTTCTTTTTAAGTTCTTTCTAAACCACCCAAAGGCAGTTGGTGGTCCATAAATCATATTATCTACTTTACAGGATGCAAAAAGAAATGTGCTCAGCATGAATGTTTGCTACAGTGTTAGTTAAATAAATTAAACATGCAATAAAGCTTTGCTCATAAAACATATCGGTAGGATAAGCTTGATGTTGTTTTTCTCAAATGAAACCTTCTTATATTAATATTATTTAGAGAATACTAATGAGGAAAATGGTAAAATACTGCGGGGTTTTCAATATTTCTTTTTCAAAGTGATAATCTTGACTTTTCTTCAGAAGGGTCTATGTGTGTAAACACCTCCAGTCCATACAAATATCTTAGATCCCCAATAGAAAAGCAGAGCATCTCCCTGGAACTCTTCTCTATTCAAGTATGTCAATGTTACTTTTAAAATTTCAATAGAGGGCTGGGAAGGTGGCTCAGTGGTACAGTGCTTGCCTTGCGTGCATGAGGCCTTGGGTTCAATTGCTCAGCACCACATAAACACAAAAAGCCAGAAGTGGCACTGTTGCTCAAGTGGTAGAGCACTGGCCTTGAGCTGAAGAGCTGTGGGACAGCGCCCAGGCCCAGAATACAGGCCCCATGACTGACAAAAAAAATCAATAGACTAGAATTATATATTTAAACCATGAACTTCAATTATAATATATTTAATACATTTAATACTATGTTAGGTATCTATTTTTAGTATTAACCTTAATTCACATGTTTGAAAGGTGTGTTAGGTTTTAAAATATAAGTTTATATTTATGAAACTAATAATGGAAGAGAGCAAGGACTACATTAATAGAGAAAATGACAAGAAACAAAAAAATGTGTGGACCCTGCCTGCTCTTATAAGTACAACAATATGAATATTTTTATTAAGTACATTAATCTAATGAATTACTGAGACAAATTAGAATTTTTATTTTGAAGACACATTTGAAATTAAGAAAAAAGAAGTTTAAACTGTTGATGTTTATTTTACCCGAGATAAAAGTTATAAGCAGTGGCTCATGCCTATAATCCTAGCTACTCAGGAGGCTGAGATCTGAGGCTCCCAATTCGAAGCCAGCCCAGGCAGAAAAGTCAACGTAAGACTCATCTCTCATTAGCCACTCAAAAACTGGAAGTGGTTCTGTGGCTCAAATGGTAGAGTACTAGCCCTGAGCACACACAAAAAAGTTATTAGTTAAAACATATGATATAAAAATTATATCCTACAGTTGACAAGATCTTAGAATTGTATTGAACATGAAAATATGTTTTTGATGCAA